AAATATTTACAGATGTCTATCAATTCGGATTACCATTACCCCACAAGAGGGCATATATTTTACGCCGATCGATTTGAAATCCTACACGAAATTCCGTTTATGGTCAAGAACGACGGAGGTGATCAGATGATATTTGGGAGGATGAAATGGACCAAAACCTTAATTTGTGTTTAAATGTGCTTTTGCAGTCGCTCTGAAGGCCACAATAATAAGACGGACATAGCAACACATCACATGGCGAAGGGAATCGGACCAACTATGGCTGTTTTGATCGGACAATATTCAGCGTATCAATTTAAAAGACCATGTTACGGGATGTTGTCTTCCACTTGATCTTTCCATCGGATTCGTGGCCTTCCCCTTCTGTGTGAAGCATCAGCTGGTTCGCTTTTATATGCCTTTTGAGCTGGGGCATGACCTAGCCAACGTAGTCGCTGCAACTCGGTACGTCTTACTATGTCGATGTCCGAGAATTGATGGTACAGCTTATTGTTCATTCGACGGCGATATTCACCGTCGACTCAGATCGGCTCATGGATCTTCCGGAGAAATTTTCTCTCAAACACTCCAAGAGCTGCATCATCTGCTTGAGCAAGTAACCATATTCCAGATCCATACACCAGCACGGATAGTGTCAGCGTCTTGCATAGTGTGTGGTTGGCCTGGCGAGAGGTGGCCTTGTTCTTGAATTGCTTACTAAGACCATAGTAGCATCTTTTGGACAACACTATTCATCTTCGGATTTCAATGCTAATGTTATTAGTTTTGTTTATGGCGGTACCGAGGTATATAACATGTTTTTCCGAATCTACAAGACGTCTTGCGCGTTGATACTATCAGCATGGTTTTCTCGCTATTTACTGCCGGGCCCACTTTGGCAGACTCCTTCTCAAATGTTTTCAAATGTGGCTGTTACCGCTCGTAATGTTCAGTCCATTATGTCGATGTCATCGTCGTAGGCGATGCAGTAGAATGTTAAAAAGGTTACACGAATGGCTGTCACCTTGTCTGAACCCTCGTTCGGTGTTGAAGGGCCCCGAGAGGTCCTTTCCTACATATCCGTATTAATTTTGCAGGAATACCGAACGCAGGCATGGCTTTAAACACCTATGAACGGATGGAGCTGTTGAATGCGGATTTATACCCACGACAAACGTGGGTAATTTCCAGGATTTGGCGCAGAATGAAAATCTGGTCAATGGTACATTTGCAAGGTCTAAAGCCGCATTCGGCTGATGCGATAATGTCATTGACCATTGGCTTCAGTCGTTTACACAGCACGCTGGATAGCACTTTATGCGCGATGGGAAGGAAACTTATTCCTCTATAGTTGTGCACGGGACACAAGAAGCTGAGGTTCAAATCATTAGGCATGCATTCCTCTAGCCAAATTGTACTACTAAAGCTGGTGCATGCTCCTGACCAGCATTTGACCACCAGTCATGAATAGTTCGGCTGATAAACCATCGGCCCCCGCTGCTTTATTATTCGTCAGCAGATTTATTGCTATTCTGGCCTCATATATACTGTCATCTCTTATTGATTCTGGGGTATCTTCTTCATCGCCACTTGTTGATACCAGAAACTTTTCAAAATGCTCCTTCCGGATCCTCAACACGCTGCCTGTATCTGTCACCAGGTTTCCTTCTTTATCTCCAGAGGAGGATGTGCCTGTTCCAAAGCCTTCGGTTTGGGGTTGTATTCGATAGGAAAATTTCCGGAATTCATTATGAATCCTCTACATCTCGCTTAGGGTTTTCTTGTTATTTCTGAAAATACGTTTCTCCTTTTCTCGCGACAATTCTCCATCGCTTTACGTATTACTAATGTTTGCCCGGTTGTCCTATACACTGCGTCAGTAGCATTACGACACTCCTGATCGTACCATGGATTTTTTAATGGTGGTCTTTGGTAGCCAAGTGTTGCTTTTGCTACAGCTTATAGGAAGTAAGCAATTCTTTGCCATTTAGCTTCTATATTTTCATCGGGACAAGGAGTGCTTTCGCCAAGCAGATGGGTGTGTTGAGCGGAGTAGGCTTCTGCTACCTGTTGTGTTTCGGGTCACCGTGTTGTGTTAGGTCGCACCTTTTGCTGCATTAAAACATTATCGATCGTGGCCTTGTGTATATCGAGATCATGGACACAAATACCTCATGCCGTTGTCTGATGTGGAGGCTGAATTTTCCGACGGTGGGACCAAAAATATTTTTATCCGATTTTTGCATTATAGCAATTTTAATCAACCGGAGTGAATCTGAAGACGAGATATTTTATTCTCCTGTTAACCATAAATCCGCAGCCAATTTCATGTCTCGTTTCATGACAGCTATAATAGAGGCCGTAATCAAGCAATAATATCGCCTTTGTACTTCTGGAGTACATTTGCCAAAGCAAAAACTGTGCTTGTTCTGTACAACGTGCGCACATTCCGTCCGTCTGTTGTAATCAAATGCGAAGATGGGATATATCGGCCCTTGTTTAGGCATAGCTCCCATATAAGGGCCCCCAATTTTCGGTATTTTGGGGTTCTTGGGCGCGTTTTTCAACCTAATCCGCTGAAATTTGGTACATTGGGTTCTTATTGGGTACTAAATGTCTCCACAGAAAAATTATAATTATAACGATACCTCCTAATTCTCAGTATTTTTCCATCTAATTGGCTGTAATTTAGTATTTTGAGTTCTTATATGTAAAAAATCTCTCTACAAAAAATGAATATTTGTCAATTTTTTCGGATAGCCCCCACATAAGGGTATCCACAATTTCCGGTATTTTTGTCTTCTTGAGCGCCCTTTTCAACCGAAATCTCAGCAATTTGGTATTTTGTAGTCATATATGGTAACAAATCTCCCTACCAACAATTATATTTTTTATATTAAAATAATTATCTGATTTCTTCCACGTTTTGGGTGAAATAGCGAGATAAAAAATTAGAACGTAAGGTTCGATAATGAACTATAGCCGCATTTAGACCTAGCCCCTATCTGCAGGTTCCAGAAGGAGTGGACCGATATTCTCCATATTCGAATTTGAACTAACTTTGGAAGAAATAATAAGATGGGCAAAGTTTGGATGAAATCAAAATTTTCTGAAACGGATTTGGTCCAAAGAAACATGGGGTCTAGAACCAATATTTCGATGAGTCACATTTTCATTGTGTCAATGTATATACACCTTCATTGGCCACAAGGCTGAGAGTATAATTATCCATTAAAAATTTCTGAAATTTCTATTATGGTTTACATAATATGTTTGTAGAAATGTTGGTATAGGTCCATTTTTTGGCATTTTCCTATATTTTCATTTCAAGTACCTGTCAGTATATCTATGGTGGAGGGTATACAAAGTTCGGCCCGTTCGATCTTAACGCTTTTTCACTTTTTTATAGTTCTTATGGTTGAACTTGCGGCACATATCAGCTCACTATGTCAATGGGTGATGAAAATAGCTACCCCAGGTGACACCGCGGGGTGGTCAGTATCCACAATTGAGATGAAGGAGGGACCAAGATAAGGCTTGGCTTTGTCCTATTAAAGTCAGTCTGAGGCATTGCTTGGTATCTATCTTTCCCTATGCCACCCACAAGTTATATACCGTAAACATATTCACTATATACAATTTTCAAAACATTAAGGTCATTGATGTTGTTTCACAACAAAGAGGTAGTTCACAGGAAAACACAGACCGATAAAAATTGGAATTTAAATGGAGAATTCAACCTAAATGTAACAGAGTTTATTTGTTTACTGCAGCAATCATTAAACTTATTAACGTTTATAGCTTAGGAATTTTCTTAAATTGTAAAAATCATAAATGTCATCGATTTCTAGGACCAATGTCTATTTTCGACTTTGTTAGGCAAAAGTTCAATCCTAAAACCGGAATTAATTTTTGAGAAGAAAAGTCATAACTCTACACAAAGGGAGGGTGTTGGGTCATATAGCCAACCTCATTTTCTATAAAATACATTTTTTTAAATACGTTTCTTTTGAGTTGATCAATAAATACTGGATATTACTGTGCATTTACTTTGCATATTGCTTCTATCACATTCATTGTCCTAAAATTACAACATTTTCGCATTATTTTTGGTTTTATGAATTGCTTTATAAATGCCTAAAATGTATTTGTCATTCTTTCATTGTCTGTGTGTGAATTACAAACAAAAATCCAAAATTTGTTCCAATGTAAACTCATATAACAAAAATTCGTTATGTGTTTCTATTTTTTCCCATTCTGTATTTTGTATTTATTTTTAATTTGTATAAAAAAATTGAAAATGATCCAAAAAAAAACATATATCACAGTCAGGAGCACAAAGTGCGGAACCAATTGTTGTAAGTAAATGTCCTTCACAAACAAAAATAAAAAAATGCAAAATCGAATACTAAAACCAGCAAAAATATTGAGTGGAACAACACTGGACACAAAATATAATAAAAAAAAAAAACAAAAATTGAAATTGTACAAAAACACACATTGTGAATAAAAAGAAGAGAAGAAATAATAAACATATTGAAAATTAAAAAAAAAATGTAAAATCTAAATAATGGATCAAAGTGTAGATTCAGTTCATTGATCCAAAATGTTGTGGTCTGCAAGAACAGGCTTTAAGAATCGAAGCAGATTTTTTGATCTTAAAAAATCCTATAATCGATATTTAATGATCTTTTGTCTAAAATTTAAATAAATACATTCCCAATTCATTAATTCTTAAATACTTAAAAATTTTCAATATGTTTATTATTCAATTTTTTATATATTTCCCTTTGGGAAAATATTTATAAAAAAAATTCTTCTTCTTTTTTTGTAAAAAAACATACACTTAAAACATTTGTGTCGTACTTTGTCTGTGTAGTTGTAATAGTCGAATAATGTTTTTCTTTACATTTTTCTTATCTTCAAAATATCTACCGCTAATTTTTTTCTTACATTAAATTTATTATCCATATCTATATTCTATCGATTTCGAATAACTTTCACATCAAATTCTATTTTAGGGTGCCACCATTAAAACCGATGAAGAATCGGGTAAAATTATAATAGCTCGAATTATGCATGGTGGTGCGGCTGATCGCTCGGGACTTATACATGTCGGCGATGAGGTCATAGAAGTCAATGGTATTAATGTTGAAGGTAAAACACCGGGAGATGTGCTAAGTATACTGGTAAGTTATTGTTACTATTTTTTTTTAAATATTTCAATGTTAATAATATGATTGTCTTTTAGCAAAATTCGGAAGGCACCATTACATTCAAGTTGGTGCCGTCTGATGGCCGAGGCGCCCAACGTGAGTCGAAAGTACGTGTCCGTGCCCATTTCGATTATAATCCTGAAGTCGATCCCTACATACCGTGTAAAGAAGCTGGCTTAGCATTTCAGCGTGGTGATATTTTGCACATCGTATCACAGGTTTGTAAAAAAAATAATAACCGTTTATAATCGAAGAGAGTTTGGTCCTAAAGTATGTACAGGTAATCATATCTTGATAAGTTTCATCGATCCAATTATCTATCATAAAATGATACAAATCCCATTATTGTGTAGGATCATGCCATTCTGGTCAAGGGCGACGGATTGAACAGCTCGCCATATATTAATCCCATGTATATGACCGACCCATGATAAGTGCCTGATCAACTCCTTGGAAAAGCGTCTCAGTGCCGACATTGTTCAATGCTCCCTCTATGTCAATGCATAGCCCTATAGTGTGCATTTCCTTATCTAAGGTGCCCTCGATGTGGTATACTACCACGTGTAAAGCGGTATCCACTGAAATCCGCTTACATACCCATGCTGATCTTCATCATAGTGTCGACTGTCCATTCCATGGATTTGAGTAGAAATAAAGTGAGGCTTTTTAACCAGTAAGATGTTCTTTTTATGTAGCATGCCCTGTCGGGCTTGGATGTAAAGAATGCTCGGGCTTCCTGCCAGGGCTTAGAAGTGTACGCAAACCTTAAGCACGTGTTAAAGAGTACGTTTAGGTATGGCGATATATAGTCCGCCTCTTTTATATGCCATTCTACTATAGACTTTTATGACGTGCTTACTTGTAAATACAACAGTCCTTTTTTCAAATTTCCCCTGTCATTCAGGGTTTTTCAAGAAAGATTTTCTTCCTCAAACAGTAGAACTTTCTTCCATTGACTTTACTGTTGATTCCGCTAGGTTGGCCGACTATATATATGCAATATCCTGTAGATAGAAGATACATAGCATCTTTGGAAAACCATTGAAATGGAATCGGGCGACATAAAAATTATATTAGATCTAAATAGACATTTCAACTAATAAAAAATATACGCATACCATTCTGAAATCTATGATAAATTGCAAACGGACCTTATTCAGTACGCTGTGGAAAATTTTGTCTCAATCGGATATATATTGGGAGTTTTGTGCACCATTTACCTAATCTCGGACGAAGCTATATATAAATGCTATATCTAAATCTGAACCGATTTTCTCCAGTTCCAATAGTGTACGTCCTTGAGCCAAAGAAGTGAATTGTGCCAATCTTCATCCAAATTGAGAGCATCAATAGATGTACGGCCATGCATAAATCGACACAGAAATATGATATGCATATTCTCAAAAGGAACCATGGGACTAAATCTAACCATGGGTGTCAAAATATTAAAACAATGTCTATGAGATAAACTTCCGTATTTGTTTATGTAAATGAAGTATGTGTATTGATTTAACCTCCCAAGTAAAATGTTGGGTAATTCGCATAGCGCTTCTCTCCATAGCGCTTCTCTGTGCGCCTCCTGGCAATCTCCGGTTAAAACGGCGGCTACATACCAATTGTTGCTGTCCTCTTCCTCCTCTTTGGGATTCCCAGTCTTATAGGATAGCTTCGCCGCGCTCAGTCTATGGATTCTCGTAACAGTCTCCTTCAACTTTGGATTGACTACGCTTTCTCTTAATATTAATTTGGGGAAAAAGAAATCCATTATTTTTATATGAACTATGGGACTTTATTTAACATGCTTCAGAGTGTCCAAATATGCACCGTTTTGTTGTATGGTTTTTAAAGGTAACTTCATAATGCCATTCTCATAGAAGTCCTGCTCTCTATTTGCAAAATAGAGAAATGAAATGTTTCTCCATTTCACATTGTTCTTTTTTTTTTGAGAGTTTGGCGATATTCGTGCCCAATTTATCTACCATAATATAAGCATCTTCGATTCCCAGGCATTTTAAAACGGCTATTAGACTTATCTTCATATTCAGACTCGGAAGTTTGAGTCCCCGCATGTGTCGGAAGATGACGTTGCTCTTCACCTGTTGTAATTAAACTCAGATCCATTTTTGCTCATTGGCTTCGTGTTTGTCTTGTTACCCTCGTCTACAGATATCAAAACACACACACAAATCTTTAGGAGATCGCAGGATTACGATGGGGCGTGACTTGCAAGCAGATAAACGAAACACGTCGGTGCTAATTTATTCAGGCTCTGCTCTGTAACTTTATTCTTCTTCGCACTTTCCGCTTTTGTTTTAGGGAATTTTGGTCAACGGAACAAGGCCCTATCACATTACCTTCAAATTTAACCGATTAGGTCCTTTTATTTCCTTCACACAATTCTATGGTTATATTGGGGGATTTTAATGGATTTTAATCGCTTCACGTTTTGGTGTAGCTCCCGAATTGGCTGTAATTTAGTACTTTTAGGCTTCATTTTATAGAAAATGTCCGTACCAAAAATTATTATTATTGATTCAAATTTCCGGGTTGCCCCCATATAATGGTAACCAGCAATATTCGGTTTTAACCGATTTTCGACACGTATTTTAACCGAATTGGTTGTAATTTGTTATTTTGGGTTCTTATTTCATAACACATCTCTATACTAAACATTATTAACATTGACCTAAGTTTCAGGTTAGTCCTATATAGCAGTACCCCGAAATATTCGACATTTTATGGATTTAGAACACGTTTTCAAATGAATTGGCTGCAATTAAGCATTTTGGGTTATCATACCAAAAATTGTTAAATGACCCAAGTTTCCGGGTAGCCCCCATATAACGATACTCCCAATATTCGGTATGTTGGGAATTTGACAGCCCCGTTTTTGTATATCCCCATACAACACTAGAACTCCTATTAATCATCTTGGGAGCCCACATTAATTTTACATATTTTGAATGCCAGGCTAATGTTGGAGGGTATTAAAAGTTCGACCGGGTCTAACTTTATTTTAACATGCTTTTATATTTAATAGTTGACAAATGCAAAAGCGGAACAATTGTTCAAACAAACCATTTTGGAGCAAATTAACAACGTTTTTATGTATCAAATCGGCTGATAGACACTTAAATCATGATTAAAGTTAGGGGGTAATAGTTAGGGGGTATTTATGGATTTCTTTAATAGGGTCTACTTAAAACCGTATATGTAAATGTGCTTTTAGGAACTGAAAAGTTAATTTGTTATAAAAATGTTCAGAACTTTATTTTTTTTAAATACGCTTCCGAACTTCACTCAAAACTGACTTTTTATATTTTTGATTACAGGATGATTCATACTGGTGGCAAGCTCGTCGCGAATCTGAGCGTACAGCTCGTGCCGGTCTAATTCCCAGTCGTGCCTTGCAAGAAAGACGTATTATACACGAACGGACGCAACGTGAAATTGGCGATGGTGAATCGAAAAGTGAGTAGTTATAGATAAATATTGTCTAAGGGCACTTCAGAACTCAAAAGTTAAAATTTCAACAACTAAAGATCTCAATGTAAATATTTGCCAAACATTTCATCTAAATGTGTAAATAGTTCTAATCATTAACATTTTTAATTGTCATCTCATTGTCATTAATCATTCTATTTTATTTTCAAATGCATGGTTTTACAAAAAAAATCCGCTTCCCAACCTAACTCTGAAACCTATTCTGATTCTTCCGCAAAAAAAACAAACCTTAAACTTCGCCCACTAAAACCAACAAATTCTGAAATTCCCTAAAAAACTGCTCCTAACATCACTGCTCCACATAAAAAAAAAAAAAAAACATCATCATCACAATTCAGAGGGTTCATGTACCTCCATATGTTCCACACCGCCTGGTTCACCTAGATTACGTTCTAGCAGTAGTACCTCATCGTGTCGACAACCGAAAACTAAAAAAATCATGTACGATTTAACAGAGAACGACGACTTCGATCGGGAGCTGATTGCCACCTATGAAGAAGTAGCCAAACTATATCCACGTCCAGGCATTTATAGACCGGTGGTATTAATTGGGGCGCCCGGCGTCGGACGCAACGAGCTGAGGAGACGTTTAATCGCTCGTGATCCTGAGAAATATCGTAGTCCAGTACCATGTAAGTAAATAGAGGAATCACCATTCATGAAAAATGTTTATTAACGTTTTTCTCTATTGCAGATACCACACGTCCCATGCGCACCGGTGAGGTGGCCGGTCGTGAATACATTTTCGTTAGCCGCGAAAAAATGGAAGCCGACATTGAGGCTGGCAAATTCATTGAACACGGTGAATACAAGGGCCATTTGTATGGCACCTCAGCGGAAAGTGTCAAATCAATTGTCAATGCCGGCTGTGTTTGTCTACTGAGTCCCCATTATCAGGCGATTAAGGCCTTGCGAACAGTACAACTGAAACCCTTCCTTATACACATTAAACCACCGGAATTCGATGAACTGAAGAAGACTCGTACAGATTCGAGAGCCAAATCGACATTTGATGAATCGAATGCAAGAGGTTTTACGGTTAGTATTTAGTGTATCAATAATACTATTGTTTGAAGATTGTTTAGAATAATATTAAAAAGGTACAATAGAGGCTTCAAAGTGATCCTAGCAAATCCATGGCCTTGGAATTATATAGAAGCATTAGAATGTTCTTTAAGTTCTTTAAAGTGTCGACTCCTCATTAAATGCTTTTAAATATCCACGCGTCTTCTAAAGTCCTTTGAAATATCCTCGTCTCTTTTAAAGGACTTTAAAATATCCACGCCCCTTGTTTACTTACTTAGCTGGCTTGTGACAGAACGGTTGTCCCATAGCCGAGCTTAAAAAGATTTCCAAGCGCGTCGGTCTTTTGCGCATCTTATCCAATTTGAAAGACCATTTTCCCAGATGTTGTCTTCCACTTGATCTTCCATCGAATACGTGAACCATCAGTTAGCTCACTTTTTGTGCCTTTTGAACTGGGGCATCCTCATCCATTCTCACAACATGACTTAGCCATCGTAGTCGCTGCAGCTCTGACTATGCCGATGTCCGAGAATAGATGGTATAACTTATGGTTCATTCGACGGCGATATTCACGGTGGACGCAGATCGGCTCATAGATGTTTCGGAGAATTTTTCTCTACCCATTATTCAGATCCATACAACAGCACGGGTGGTATCAAGGTCATGTAGAGTGTGAGATAGGTCTGGCGAGAGGTAACCTTGTTCTTAAATTGCTTACATAGACCATAGTAGCATTTGTTGACCAACACTATCCTCCTCCGAATTTCAAAACTGATGTCATTAGTTTTATTTATGGCGGTACCGAGGTACATAAAATCTTTGACTACCTCGAAGCTGTAGTTCTCAAGTTCCACAGTTGGTCGGAGTCTACTAGACGTCTTGCGTGCTGAAACCATCAGCTTGCTGTTTTCGCCATTTACTGCCAGACCCATTTTAGCAGACTTCTCAATTTATACAAAGGTGACTGTTACAGCTCGCAATGTTCGACCCATTGTGTTATGTCATCGGCGTAGGCCAGTAACATGTGTGTTCTGTACACCTTTACATCTCATATGACTTTTCCAGCAGGATGTAAAAAAGGGCACACGACAAACTGCCACCTTGTCTGAATCCTCGTTCAGTATTAAACTGTTGACCTTGTGCCAATAAAAACTATCCTTCATAGCCGTTTTAATTTGCATGAATGCCATATGCTGACATGGCTTTAAACACTTTTGAGCGGATTGGGCTGTCCAATGTGGCTTTATTGTCCACGAATAGGTGGAATGTGTCGATGGGTCTTTTCCAGGATTTGGTGCAGTGTAAAACTAGCTGGTGCTGGTGCATGCTCCTGACTAACTTCTGACCACCGGCCATCTGATCATCGGCTCATGCTGCTTTTGTTATTCATCCGCCGATTGATTGCTATTCTAACCTCATCTTGGCTAGGTGGTAAACACTCTATAACGTCGTCTTTTATTGGTTCTGGGGTATTATCTTCACCGCTACTATTTGACTACCGCTACTAGTTTTACGAAATGCTCCTTCCAGATCCTCAACACGCTATCTTTATCCGTTACCAGGTTTCCATCTTCATCTCTACAGGAGGATATGCCTTCACCAAAAACTTCGGTTTGGTGCTTTACTCGTTGGTAAAATTTCCGGAATTTGTTCTGTCTGCTGTACATCTCGATTTGCACACGTTTTTCTTGTTCTTTCTTCTTTTTCTAAAAATACGTTTCTCCTATCTCATTTTCTCGCCACAATTCACTCTCGAAGTGTGTGTTCCTACTGTTTGCAGGGTTGCCATATACGTTCGTTTTTCACATCAGTAACAAAACGACACTCCTGATCGTACCACGGGATTCTTGATGGTGGTCTTTGGTACCCTTTTGTAAGGAGTTGGTAATTCTTTGCCTATGTGCTTCTATACTATTATCAGGACAAGAAGTGCTTTCGTCAAGCTGGTGGGTAAGTTAAGCGGAGTAGGCCTCGGCTACCTATAGTGTTTGCGGCTTTTCGAAGTCGAGTTTCCGTGTTGTGTTAGATCGCACCTCTGCTGCAACATTAAGACGAGTGCGAACCTTGGCAGCTACAAGGTTGTGGTCCGAATTGATATTCGCTCCTCGGATCGATCGAACGTCTAATACACTGAATGAATGCCTTCCGTCTATCACAACATGGTCAATTTGATTTCTCGTTGCTTGATCAGGAGAAATTCAGATCGAGATGCTTGAATCTGGTGCTGTTAACTACCAAGTTTTTTGCTGCCGCGAAGACAGTCAGCCTCATGCCGTTGTCTGATGTTTCTTCATGAAAGCTGAATTTTCGACGTTGGGACCAAAAATACTTTCTCTTATGCTAAGAGATTTCAAATCTCTTAGCAGAATTTTAATGTCATGGCCAGAGCAGCGGTCATAACCGACAGACAGACCATCTTTGTCTTCCGTCGAAGCATTGGCGCAAATAAGGCTGATATAGAAGGACTTCGCTTTTATACGGATTATAGCAATTCGCTCATCTACTGGAGTGAATCTGGAGACGAGGTCTTTTGTTCTCCTGTTACCCATATATCCGCAGCCAAATTCATGTCTCATTTCATGGCAGTTATAAAACAGGGTGTAATCATCTGATTAATTACGCCAGTCCCTTTCCATCGCATTTCTTGTAAGGCAATAATATCGGCTTTGTACTTCTTAAGTACATCCGCCAAAGCGAAAACTGCGCCTGTTCTGTACAACTTGCGCACATTCCAAGTGCAGATTCGCATATCGTGGTTCTTTATATGTTTGCGGGGGTCGTCAGCATAATAGAAGGGGTTTTCCGAGTGTGGGCAACTATCCCGACGCTTCAATTCATTTTTTACCCCAGGTGACACCGTGAGGAGGTCTGTGTCCACAATTAAGATGATGTTAAAGCCAATCAGAGCCGTTGCTTGGTATCTATCTTCCCATTTAAAATAGCCACGCCTTTTTAAGTCCTTTGAAATATGCACCACCTTTTGTTACATATTCTTGAAACACATGTTCCCAATTATTTTCAAATGCAAAAGACAATATCCAGGACCAGGACGATATTGTGAGAAACACGTTTATAGAGCTTAGAATAACCTTAAGTTCTCTATATTCCAAATTAATTAAAACTTCCCCGTAGATATTTAAATTATAAAGACTCCTAATAAATTTGCTTTAATTTTTTTAATTTTTCTCCATTCCAGGATGAAGAATTCAATGACATGATTAAATCATCGATTCGCATCGATTTCCTCTATGGCCACTTTTTCGATGAAGAAATTATCAATGCCGATTTGGTGACAGCATTCGAAAAGCTTGTAAATATCGTGCAAAGAGTTGAAACGGAACCGTTGTGGGCACCCTCATCCTGGGTGCAATAAGATCTGTAGAAATGGCATGGAACGAAAGGAGTCGGTGGGTGGAATGGGTTGTGGAGCAGGCAGCTATAAGAAAAAACCAAAACACACACACACTTACAAAAAAGACGTGGCCGCTCAAAAGGTGCTGCAGACAAAAACCGGGAAACACACACACTATGAAAGAAGAACAAAAGACAAACACTGCTACAAACCAAACAAAAAATGCCAAATTACAACAAACACACAAAATTATTTAAAAAAAATACATTAAGAATGTATTAAGCAAAAAATTAAAACAAATTCAATTCGAAGAATCCAGAATATAAAAATCCAACAACACCAAGAAAAAGAAGAAAACTATTTAGATTCATGTCTTTAGAGCAAAACACAAAAAAAAATAATTTTTTTTTTTTTATTTTTAAGATTATACAAATTTAAAAACATTTATTTCAAACAACAAAAACAACGTGTTTTTCAGCTGACTTTGTAAAATAGCTAAAATTTGCAGGAATAAAAAAGAGATATAAAATAAATTATCCTCATATTCCAGTTGGTACACTAATGTGGGAATTATTTTCGCTCGGGTTTAGTTTTTTTATTACGATTATAAATCTTGGGATATACGATTATTTACTTTTGAATATTATAATTTAAACTGTTTAAAATTTAAATAAAACTTTTATATGGATTAGGAAGACTTGAACATATTCAAATTAAAAATATAAAATAATGTTTTGAATTAATAATTCTTAGAAATCCTCTATAGACTTCTGCATAGATTTTTAAATAGTCTGAAAGAGATACACGATTACAGAACTTTGAATAGACTTCAAAATATTGTTTTTATATAATCGTAAACAAAAATCGCAGTTCGATTATTTTCTGTAATAAAACATAATGTATTACTTTGGACGAGCAAAATTGATTCTCTTGTATAAGATTTACCTATGGGCTTTTTCCCATTTGTTATCAACGTTTGTAATACGTCTATCACCTTATCCATGATACCAATACATGTTAAGTAGTTCATTTTTTTGTAGGAACTATAAAAGTGTCCTTTCGTTTGCAACACATCGAAATACTCCCCGGAGACCCCTTAATAGAGCTGTAAAAAAATCGATGGCAATATCGATAGTATCGATTTTTTTTTAAAATTGAATGTCGATTGACAGTTTTGGCTATCGATATTATCGGACAAAATAACATAGGTTAGGTCAAGGTATACATAATAAGGTAGCCGCATCGGCCCAGCTGTTGGTGCAAATAAATGCCAAACATGTTGTTGTAATGTAGAATCAAAAAATTAAAAACTAAATTATAAATAAGCCATGATCCTTAAACGTATTATCCAAAAACGAACAATATAATTTAGTTCAGAGCCCGTACGTTTTTCAGAAACGCGAAAAAATTTCAACAATCGTAAAGGAGGACATATTGCACCATGGACAACTATATAAAAACCACTCCAAAATGTTCGTACAAGTACTATCAATCAAGAAATATCTACTAAAATACTTTTGTGAGTGCATATTTTTCTTTAGTCTGTGGCAAAGAAAACGTAGAAGTGCTGGCCAGCACCGACACCAGTTTCAAAGGAGACAATCCAAAAATTACGAAATGGAAGACATCGGAAGCGTGGGCATATTTTAATAGATCGAAAGATTGCAAATTTGCAATTGCCGAATATGCACAAGAGTATATAAAACTAGCGGCAATGCCACTAACATTTTGGGCCACCTTAAAAGGGCACATGCATCAATTGAATACTGAACACGAATCCACCTCGAAGCGGTAGAAAAAAATGATTACACCTTTATGACAATGATATGTCTAGACGTCCGGCTAGGGATTTCAAGAATTTTTTTGGTGTTTGGATTCGCCTTTAGATCTTCTTTATAATTCTGCAAAATGTCAACAAACACAAAATCTCCGCCAAATATTAGTGGAAAATTACCGATAATATCGACAGCAATCGATAGTTTGAAATGAAATATCGGAACTAGATAATGTTTGGAATATCGATGTTTTTACAGCTTTACTCCTTAAAGAACATAACATCTTGATCCAAATAAAATTCTATGTCGATTTATGCGTGTCCGTCTGTACATCTGTGTGTCTGTAGAAACCACGATAGAGATCGCAATACTTCGGAATAAAATTTGTACACTTGAATTGATATTACTCCGGTACCCCTCTATAATTCGGTGTTATGGAATTTTTAACAGTTTTTTCAAATTTAAAATCTATGAAACCACGTTTTTCTCTACATTTACCATCAAATAAAATTAATTTTCGAAGTGACCCAGAAAAATCAAAGGTATTTTCGTGGTCCAGAATTGATACATTAGAACCCCTAAATAATTTTTTTTCTTGTTTTGTAGCACAGTTTTTTTTAATATTGGCTCAGGTTTCGATGTAGTCCCCATAAAACAATACCCCCAACATTCGGTATTTTAATGATTTTGGGCACATGTTTCAAGCTAATTAATATTCTTATTAAAAATTATGAATATTGGTTCTCCTTTTAAAGAAGCCTCCATAAAACGCTACATTCCAAAGATGTGGGGAGCTTGAGCACGTGTTTCAACCAATTTGGGAACAATTTAATATTTTGGATTCTCATTGCGTGGAAAATGCTCCAACCAAAAATTATGAACATTGGTCCATGTTTCCGGTAACCCTGTTTTTGATAGTTTTAGGCACGTTATTTAACTGAATTGGCTCTAATTTGATTTTACAGCTTCCCATAGGATGTCAAATCCTCCTAATAAAAATTATCAATATTGGTTCACTTTTTAAGGAATCTCCCATATAAAGCTGCATCAACCAAATTATCTGTAATTTTATATTTTGGATAATCATTGAGTAAAAAAATTCCTTTCCAAAAATGATCAGCTTTGGGGTATTTGGGCATGTTTTTCAACCGAATTCGTTTTTATTTGATTTATCAAATTCTTATGGGGTGTCAATTCTTCCTACGAAAAATTATCAATGTGAGTTTACGATCTGATATAACTCCGATAGAACAGTACCATCACATTTTCGGTATTTTGAAAGACAAGTGGCAGTAATTTGGTACGAATGGTTCTGGAAAACTGACTTATATACACACATTTTGCGATGTATATAAGGGTTCCAGTTTTGATATAATCCCACGTAAATGTTGTGCTTCTTTTGCTTCTTTTTCGGTAATAAAACATTTCTAACCGAATTTTCTCATTGGAGTGGCTATAATTTGACATATAAATGTCCCAATCGACTTAGGGAGTTTTGAATGCACTCCACGAGGTGAAGGGTATAAAAAGTTCGGCCCGGCCAAAATTAGCGACATTTTTACTTGTTTATAAAAAAAGATTAATGTTATTATAATAATATACAGATTTCAATTAAAGCATCCAAAAAAGTTAGTTTTCTACGATTTTCGAAAATATTCAAAGTTTTTTTTCCGAATTTGGGATTGAACATTCGATAATTTTCGTATCAAACATTTGACAAATTTCCAAAATTCGAATCAAACACCCGGTCATTTTCTGAATATCAGATCAAACGAACGATTTTTTTGAACTTCTGAAAAAGTATCCGAGAATCTTCCAATTTTGGAATGTTCCCTAGAGTTAGTCCCATACAGAAAATAGTCCTTGTACAGAAAATTTAAAATTTCCTCAAAATTTAAAATTTTCGGTCGATTATTTAGAATGTGTGCTATAGTCCTCAATAAATGCCTCCCATCTTCTGATTTTTGCATTAGTGTTATTTTCTAATACAGGAAGGGTTAGAGGTTGATGGTCATTAAAAATTTGAACTCTTTAGTAGTACCTACAGATATGCTATCAATTCTCTTTAATTAATAATTAACATCATAGTCTGTTAACAAGATTCTGGAAATCGTAAAGATTGGTCTAGATCCTCTGACAAAACCGCACTTATTCCACTCGCGTAAGCGTCTGGGGTAAGTCGAAAGATTTCTAAAAATGACAAGATATTGATATTGATTGGACATGATCGTTTTCATTGTCTGAAATATAATAATGTTTATTTCTATTTTCATCTTTATAAGTCGCCTATTAGTATACGACCCGTAGTTGGGCTATGGTAGGTGAATTTGTATGTTTCATAATGACATGTTTATACCCTCAGCATTATGGCTAATGAAGGCATAAACGCATTGATGCGACAAAAATGTGTCTCATCAAAATATTGGTTTTAGACCCCATGTTTAATTGGACCAAATTCGTTACAGACAATTTGGAGTCGAGTTACAAATGCCCGTTTTCCTGCCTGTCTGTCTGTAGCCGATTCTATTCTAAATTTGCGCATCGTAATAGTTGTTCTACTGCCTGTCTGTCTGTAATAGTTGTTCTACACTTAGACTTAGATCGAAGATGAAGGATATCGGCTCACTCCTTCTGGTCAAAATGTTGCGGAAATTTATTTTCATAATATTCGGATTTTCCGACTGAAACTAATCTTTGCACAACCTAATATTATAGCAATGACTGTATAATATTGCAATATGGGAGTTATCGGCCCACTCCTTCTGGTATCTCCCCCACAAAGCATCAACATTTTGAAAAGTTGTACATCTCACATGTAGTGAATGGAATATCCTATTTCAACGAAACTTTACACAACGTATTATTTTTATGGTACTTAGATTATGTACGAAGATGGAACTCGTCGATCTACTACGTCAGGTACCTCCGTAAAGTGTCAAAATTTTTTAATTTGTTAATCCAACATCAATTGAATGGAATGTCATATTTTTCTGGTGTAGAGTATGTTTTTAGGTGCAATATCCAAATTTAAGGGGACCCCCCCCCCCCCTCATTCTCGGGGTCAAATTTTTTTTGATTTAATTCGAATTTACACTAATTCAAGAATCTCCATACAAAATTTCAAGTGAAAATCTCAAGGACTCTTGAAGATATAGCCGATTTATTGTGTCAGCATCCAGTGACGGCTAAAGGACTTCTCAAACTTTAAACGTGTTTTTCTCTTTTGTGAATGGCGGGCACGATAACTCAAA